TTTTATACTAACGGTCACACTCTATACTACATTCTGTTTTTTCATTTAAGATTATGTATAGCTTGAAGCTCTTTCCAAATTAGTACATGGAGAAATGTCCTCATTCTTTTTTTTTTTTTTTGTCCTCATTCTTTTTTCAGTATTATGTTACGTGCATGTACCGTAATTTATTTATCCAGTCTCCTACTGATGGTCATGCAGACTGTTTTAGTCCCTGTGCTATTTCAAAGTGCTGCAGTGAACAATCCTGTTTTCAAAGTGTGATTAATTTTGGCCTAAGCAAAGCTGGGTTGGCACACCAAGAAAGCAGTGCCAGTGCAGGGCCCACAAGTGCCCTCCCTGTGCTCTGAGGCCTGACACCATGACTCACTGGCTCCAAGATTAGTCACGTAAGCCCAGACACCCCAGGGTGAAAACGGATCATCTCTGGAGCACCAGGGATGCACCATCACAGGCCGCAATCTGAAGAGATCGCTGGACTCAGAAAAGTCCGACCCAGTCCATTAAGGGAATAAATGTAAGGGGTTCCCAAGCCTTTTCCACTAAGGCAAGACTAATGACTGTAATTAGCTGACTGCACAATTAGAAGTGATTAAGCCTATTACAGAAGAGGCTCAGATCCCCACAGCTGGAAGCATCCCAGCATGGCCCGCTTAAAAGGTTTACTGCTTTCCTCTCTTTTCTTAGACTATACTTGTAGCACATGTCTACCCTCACAATAGGGGTATTATTTTTCTTTTCCATATTAGTTTCTTTTCAACATACTGTCACATATGGACATTAACCAAGTGTGCCTAACCATCAGTTTAATTTTTCTATTTTAAAACTAAAATAAAGAATTGCTTGGCAGTCCAGTGACTAGGACTCGGCGCTTTCACTGCCAGGGGCCTGGGCTCAATCCCTGGTCAAGGAATTAAGATCCCACAAGCTATAAGGAGTGGCCAAAAAATAAAAGTTGAAATATAATTTACATGCAGTACAATGCACAGATCTTAAGTCTTTAGTTTATAAGTTTTATAAATGATTATGTCATGTAACCAACACCCCGATTAAAATATAGGAGAAATTTTTTCCCTCCAAAAAGTCCTTCATGCCCTTCTTTCCATCATCCCCTACCTTGCTCCAGGCAACTGTTGTTTGCATGTGAAAGTCAGGCCAAGCCCACCCTCCGTTGTGATTTTAAGTTCATGTTGTTAAGAAATAACCGGTTATATGACGTGAATTGGGAAAGAGCACCCTCCAAATTAAAAAGAGTATGTAATTCATTCTCTTGTCCTTAAATTCACGAGTGTGTCTGGGCAGCCATCCTAGCTGCTGAATATGTATTTTACTTTGTTCTCCTTCAAACAGTCACTGAATACTTCTTTAAAACTTCTAAAAAATTCACTTAAGTATAGGAGTAGTTTCCAGATTCAGAGCCAAGTTTGTGGACAAGAGCAGCAAACATACTGGAAGCTGAGAACCAGGAGCAGAACCTGCCTGTCTGTCAACCTCTTGCACCACATCCTTCTGAGCTTTCCAGCGTCAGGGTTTCAGAGAGTGAGGCTGTGAGGGGAAGTTAGGAAAGAGAGGAGCAGTGTGCCCCCAAACATAAAGAGCCGTCTACAGGCAGGAATGTCAATCAAGGCAGGTAGGAGGGCTGCAAGAAAAAAAATCCCCACCTAAAGGAGAGGACAGACCAAGGGCACACACAGGGCTCCATTTCGCCAATGATCAAGAAGGCTGAAAGTCCACATGAGCTTTCAGTAAGAGTGCAGGAGGGCCTGCTTCCCTTGGGTGAAATAAACAATCTGTGGACGAGACTAAAGTGTGAACCTACAAATCTGGGTAGGGCAACAGGTCCCACTGGCAAATGAAGTTTGGGTTTTACTTTCTTTGTGCCAATGACAGAGGTGTCGGACAGTCACTGTGGTAATGGTAAAGCATCGCACATAGTTGTCCCCACCCCAAGGATCCCAGGAGTGAGTGCGTGTGTTGGGGAAATGTATGCAGGGAGGCTATCATAAAAGGGAGTACAGAAAGCTGTAATGTTACAGGGCAGGTGTAGCTGAGAAGGAAAAATTCCTGCCTCCCGGTGCCGCAGACCCCAGGGAAGCATAGCCGATGGGAGTTACACATCCACATGGAGACCCCAAACTACCTCTTACCGAGAGTCCCTGGGAGGGTGGAGGAGCCTTGAATTTAACTGAGGGGCAGAGCTCCAAGATCATGGTCCTGGACCACCGGTGGGGAATGCTGTTCCCCAAACTCAAAGTGACAGGAGCAGAATTGTCTTTCCTGGGGAGCCACAGAGACCTGGGGACTCGTAGGGCCACTAGACTGAGCAGAGACCAGTAGTCCTTGCTTACACGTGAAAGTCAGACCAGCTCCAGCCCCTGCCTTGGACTGTGTAAGCCTTTGGGTTTGAAGAAGATTAAGTGAAGTGAAGTAACTCCATGGAGGAGACACTGAAGTTCCTACTAACCATGCAAATGGGGAATTGATTAATTAATTAATTTTCTTTACAGGAGAAAATAAAAGACACATTTGGTTTGCACCCTAACTTTGTGGGGTGGTCATCCTATTTACTCAGGTATCATCTGAACTCCAAGATCTTTTTGTAGTGGGGTAACATGTCCTGCCTTTGCAGCAACTGCTAGAATTTGTGCTCCAACTATTGCATTGCTGCCAATGTCCTCCCTTCCTACCTGTAATCTCTAAAATGCTGCTTATTCTTTAAGACCTAATTCCAGTGTAATTTCCTACATGATTCTCTTCTGATCACCTCACCCAGAAATAGTCTGACTCTCTCCTTTACGTTCTCCTATTCTCCTTTCCCTGCCGAGTACTTTGTTTTAGCATTTGCATACCTCTTTCATCTTGTCTTTTTATACCTAATAAATTGTAAGCTGCATATCTTAATACCTCCTTTAATGCCTTGTACCTAGCAAGTAGTCCTTATATTTAAAAAAAAAATTTAATTGCTACCAAGTTGTGGTAGACATTGAGAGTGTGTTTCCCACACCTCTTGTCCCCCTCCCCACTGTGTAATCACCATAAGGTGAGTGGGATTGACCTTACCCAATTCCAGGGGCAGTCCTTTGTGATGTATGCCAGTTCCAACACACTTGCCAAAGTGATAGGTTTTTGAGCCTGAGCCAAACAGTATATGGCACGCCCATAGTGATTGGTCCTTAGGGTGATTCAATCAGAAAGAAGCATGGAACTCACACACAATGGCTATAGGCAGCAGTAGTCCTCCTCTCCCTAGACTAAATGTCAGGAAATTTTGACTGAGCTGTTCAATTCCAACTGGGCTGCTATTCACAGGTATCTTGAAACCAGTAAGAAAGTCAGCCTAAAAAGGAATTGGTCCCACAAAGGTGGGCAGGGCAGAGAGAATCAGAGATGGAGCCAGACCCCTGATTAAACCATTTTAGAAGGCTTCCCTAACTTAACTCCTTAGTCATCTGAACTAATAAATTCTCTTCATGGTTTCTCCTACTTGCAACCCAAAGCATCCTAGCCAGTGCATTGGGAAGGCAGCACTACAGTGAACATTGTAGGTTCATACATGTTGTATGCACATAGCGTGTGCACAAACCTCCCCCTACCCCACCCCCCAGCCTGAATCTTCCTAGGGAGAGGGAAAAACATACACATCTCCAGTTCCTGGGATGGGGGCAACATCTGGTTTTATAAAATTGCACATTTTAAAGCTTTTGTGAATAATTACCAAAACGTGGAACTGATGTTTTTGATAAGTTTTAACTAATTTCTGTATTAAAAATGATTTGCAATTATAACCTAAATTTTTAAGAATATCTCAGACTCTAACAACTGGTAATAAACTACACATTTTTTTTCTCAAAAAAAAAAATCATGTACTGTTTGGGACTCTGTAACAGTACTTAGAGTAATAAAATCAGCTTTTAGCATTTTGTGAAATTTGTACTTTCAACATCTTTCTTAGAAGGTGAAATGGGGTTCGAATAATTGGAAGGCGATATTGACTTTTTCTTGGTCAAGGTTCCATGCCTTGACCTTATTTACAACGTTAGGATTTTCTTGTCTACTGGTTCACTTGCTTTCTTGGCAAGCATCATCCTCAAGTCTCCTCTCTAGGGGCTTAGCTGCTTGTGAACTGGGACCACATCTTGTGCCTCTTTCATAACCTGTGTCTTCCTCCTGCCATGAGGAGTTCTAGAGCTTCCCAAATGATGGTGGATAGCCCATGGAAATTTCCACAGCAGCTGCCCAGCCCTGGCCCCCCCACCTGGGCCCTGGCCTACAAGTCCTACAGCCCAAGGACACTAAGCCTGGCTCTGGGTCAGGCCTGTGGTCTATTTATGACTTTTTATCTCAGGGTTTGTGCCTTGGCACTTTGCACTCAAGAAACTTCCGCCCCTCCTCACCAGTCAACACACGTCCTTATCTAGAGAAGAGAACAGTGGGCAGATAAACAAACTCGCTTTCTCCATGGCTACCCAGATGGCCCCAGTGTCTCTCTGCCTTTGGTTCATTCCTCTTGTTCAGGGGCCCAAATCCTTTTATGGGAACAAAGAAAACCTTCTGACATTCCGATAAAATATCTTCATGACCACTGATGAGATTACTGATGCATTTGTTTCTCACATGCGTCCCCTTAGTGTGCTAGTCACTCATGTGTGCATGCTAAGTTGCTTCAGTCGTGTCCAACTCCTTGTGACGCTATGGACTGTAGCCTGCCAGGCTCCTCTGTCCTTGGGATTCTCCAGAAAAGAATACTGGAGTGGGTTGCCATGCCCTCCTCCAGGGGATCTTCCCTGCCCAGGGAATGAATCCAGGTCTCCTGTATTGCAGGCAGACTCTACTTTCTGAGCCACCAGGGAAGCCCTCCCTTTACTAGGGAAAATGTGTCTCCCAAGTGGGAGGAACCTCTCCCTCGCTCCCACGGGGTATAGTCCTGAGCTCAGCTCAGAGGCAGAACTGGCCACTGATGGATCCCAAACAGCTCAGGGGAGAGCAAGCTCAGGAGGTACCAGGAGCGCACAGTGCCTGTACCAGGAGCGCACAGTGCCTGAGGAGCTGTCCTGCTTCCAGCCCTGCAGCCTCGCTCCCTCCTCTCGGGCCTGGAGCGAGAACAAGGGACCAGCAGCCAGAGAACCTGAGAACAGAGCAGAGCTCTACCATTACATCAGGTCTCTTGGGTACCTTACGTAACCTCTCTGGGCCTCAATGTTCTAAGGTGCCAAATACCTGAGCTACTTACTTAATTCTTAATTTAATCTTGTGATATTACCACTATTTTTTTTTCTTTTTAGCAATGACCGTGTCTATTATGTGACTCAGATATCAGCTGAAGCCTCCCTGAACAAGATTGGTTCAAACATCCATTCCACATCCCATGGAAGCCTAAAGTCCTGCCCCCCAAATGTGGCCAGTTCCCAGGAGGCCAGGGTGGAAGGTGGGAGGAGGCTCATGTACACAGTCACCTCTGGCCCTGAGCCCTGAGAGTGCTGATGTCCACCGATTTGTGGACGGTCTCACCATCTGTGTACCGTCCCTAGGCAGAGCTGTGCTGACCCCTTTGGGGAACGAAAGGGATCCACGTGACGTCAGACGAAAGAGTAGACATTGCTTGGCTGCCCCGTTCTATGAGGACTTCTATCAGCTGATCGCCTCGTGGAGTTTCCAGTTAGTGGGTTTTTTTTTCTCCCTTACTTTTCCATCTCTAGGGTTTCGCTGGTGGCTCAGATGGTAAAGTGTCTGCCTGCACTGTGGGAGACCCGGGTTCGATCCCTGGTTCGAGAAGACCCCCTGGAGAAGGGAATGGCAACCCACTCCAGTACTCTTGCCTGGAAAATTCCATGGACTAAAGAGCCTGGTAAGCTACAGTCCATGGGATCCCAGAGTGGGACACGACTGAGTGGCTTCACTTTCTTTCTTATCTCTCCCCCTCATCCCTTCCCTTTGAGACTGCCTCCAGAACTCCAAATGCTTCTTACTGTACTCTGTGGAGTCATGTATTTCTCTACCATTCCTTCCGCCGAACTCAGCCTTTCAAACAAATCAAAGTGTGAAATAATACAAGACCAGCCGTCCTCATGTACCAGGCAATTGGGGCTATAGGTGTTTTTTTCTCACTCTATTAAAACTGTGATACAGCGTCTGCTAAATTCTTGCTTAAATGAAAATTCCATTCCTTAGAAATCAGAGAAAATAAAGAGGAGTAGCATTTTGGTTCTAATTCTGCACAACCAGGGGAGTTTGCTCATCAGGGGAAAATGACAGAAATCTCACTGTCACCCAGGAGTGTATGACTGCGGGGAAGGCCTGCTAGATGGTCCAGTGTGTGCCAAGACTCAAGAAGGAGTTGTTGTTGTTCAGTTGCTCACTCTTTGCAACCCCATGGACTGCAGCATGCCAGGCTTCCCTGTCCTTCACTATTTCCCAGAGTTTGCTCAAACTCATGTCCATTGAGTTGATGATACCATCCAACCATCTCATCCTCTGTTGTCCCTGTCTCCTCCTGCATTCAATCTTTCCCAGCATCAGGGTCTTTCCCAATGAATCGGCTCTTTGCATCAGGTAGCCAAAGTATTGGAGCTTTAGCATCAATCCTTCCAATAAATGTTCAGGGTTGATTTCTTTTAGGATTGGCTGGAATCAATCCTTTAGGATTGATCTCCTTGCACAGTCCAAGGGAATCTCAAGAGTCTTCTCCAGCACCACAACTTGAAAGCATCAATTCTTTGGCATTCAGCCTTCTTTACGGTCCAACTCTCAGGAGGGAGACTCCTACAGTATTTGGAGAAAAGTTAGGTGTGATTGATCTCATGATCCAAGAATAAAGGGAAGACAGCTCAAGTAGGACTGAGTGGTCCTGTTACAAATGACTCCCTGGGGAGAAAGATAAAACAGCTCCACAGTCAAATACACCCATAGGTAGGTGAATGGGTCAGCAGGGTGTTTCCTCACTGGCCAACAAGAGCTCCAGCATCTTCATCATGTGACTTGAAGGTTGCCCTGGGGACCGTCTCCACTCCAGTGGGAGATCAGCAGGCCTGGCCTGGCAGTGGCACTCAGTTTTCTGCTCACGCTCCCTCCACTGGAACTATCACGTGGTCACACCACACCCCCTGCAGGGGAATGTGGGGATGGAGTCTAAGTGTGCTTTCAGAAGAGCCAGAAGGCAACAGCAAGGTGTCGCCCAGTAGTAGCAGTCTCTGCCACACACTTCTTCAATTTCCTTATCAAGAGTGCAAAGTTGAGAAACAGTATCAGTAAGAGGATATGGAAGCAGATAGAAAGACAGCACCTTGATGCCCCGGGAGAGCTCAGGTCTTCTGACAGGATGAATTACACCCAAGGGGACTGAGGGACTGGTGGACAATCCAACTTCATCTTAGGGGAACTGTAACAAAAAGAACTGCTAATGGAAGGCTGAAAAGGCAGGCACTATCATCCCGATATTTATAAAGACTAAGAAACTGGAATCTAGAAAGTACACAGTGATGAACTTGACATGAATACAGGATGAGTGGCTCAAAGAGATAGTCAGATGGGTGGTCTTGAACATTGAGAAGGAAAGCAATGACCACTAACAGCCAGCATGTAATCCAGGCTAACCTCATTTTCTCTTCTGAGAGGATTATCTTTAATAATGCTTGTATCTTTAGTCTTCATAATACTCCTTCAGGAGGTTTGTGCTATCGAATCAATGCAAATTATGGACAAAGTTATTTTGCACAAAATGATATTGTCACTATTTTTATTTTTGGCTATACCATGCTAGTTGCAGAATCTTAGTTCCCTGACCAGGGATTGAACTTGAGCCTCTGGCAGTGAGAGAATCAAGTCCTAACCACTGGACTAGCAGGGAACTCTCACTATTTTATTTATAATAGCAAAAAATTATATACAATCTAAAAGTACAGCAATAGGAGAATGATTATGTAAATCATTAATCATTAATACAATGAACTATTGTACAGGCTTTAAAACTGTTTTTGAAGAGTAATAATGATTTGAGAAAATACATATGAAATACTGTCAATGATAAAATCAGGATGCAAATATCAGAGAATGTATGCTCTCAGTGATGTGAAAAATATCAGCATAGAAAAATGATGAATAAAATAGGCATAAATGTTAACAGTAGTTATCTAAGATGGCAGAATTATTGGTTGTTGTTAATTTCCTCCATGTACTTCCCTATATTTTGCCACAGTGGGCATGTATGACTTCCACAAAAAGAGAGAAAAACCTATTCTTTAAAAAAGAAAAAAAATCACCAAGCTGATAGAGCAGGGCCACCACACATATAAATAGGACATTATCATCTCACAAGGTATTTGAAAAAGAATATTCACTGCACTGATAGATTAAATTGTGACTCAGTTATTATGAATATAGGTGGCTGTTAATCACTGAATGACCATCCATCCCCAATCCAGACTTTGGTCTGCATAGGCAGGAATAGGCTTTGTCCTGTTCAGTAATTTTACGCTTGTCTCAGGTGAACATCTGCACTGTCCAATGTGCTATCCACTAACCATGTGCAAATAATTGGTTCTAAATTACTCAAATTAAATGCAATTTAGGGGAATTCCGTAGTGGTCCAGGGGTTAAAACTCTGTGCTTCTGCTTCAGGGAGCGCGGGTTGGATCCTTGGTCAGGGAACTAAGATCCCACATGCCACATGGCCAAAAACAAACAAACAAACAATCCCCCCTTCCCTGACCCCAAGGTAACTAAAATTAAATGCGCTTTAAAATTCAGTTCCTCAGTTGCACTAGCCTCATTTTAAGTGTTCAATAGGCACACAGGGCTAGTGACCACTGTATTATACAGCTTAGATATATAGCATGTCCATCGTTCTAAAACATTCTGTGGGCAAGTGCTGACCTTGGGGTAACGATGATCAGCTTCACAGAGTGCACCAGGCTGAAGGGAAGTCAGCCTCTCAGGTGATCACCACAGGCTGGCACGACGAGCCAGGTCTAAGCAGATGAACCCGAACAGTTCTAAGCATGACATCCACCACTGGACCACCACGGAAGTCCCCAGGGGTGGGTGGGGTATTAATTTTTGTTGAAGACAAACTCCATATGTGTCTGTGAGGTAACGCAACCAAGCCAAAATACGAACTCTTGAGTTGAATGAATGAAATATAAGGTTCAGGACAAGAAAGTGATAGTTCCAAGCTATGTTGGTCAAACTACACTGAGAATTCAAGCGTTTTTCCATCAGTGGTGTTTTCAGAACCAGAAGTGGCCAGAATGAAACTGATTAAATACAAAAAAACAGTTTGCATCACTTAAGACTGCTGTTGGTTATACGCAGATGGAAACTGGAAACCAACACAGCATATGAGGGGAAAAAAGACTGTTAGGAGCAGTCCAGCTGTTGGGTGTTAGTGGCTTTGTGCCTGGTTTGGTAAACAGTGAGGTAGCAAGCCATACAGGTAATGCAAGTGGAGAAACTGGTGAGATACCGCATTAACATGGTGCCGGTGTGGGGAGAGAAAGAGAGCTAAGACCCTTGAGCAAAAGCCAGAGGTAATCAGTGATGTTTAAGGTTTTATAGCAATCCAGCCAGAGCTATGAAAGCAGCTTTGTTATCAAACCACTTGCAGGAAGATTAATTTTGTTACTGTACATCTAAAACATTCTATTCCTAATCTCGTCTTGATTCTTTTTTTTTTTTTTTTTAAGCCACACAGTATTGGGATGTTAGTTACTCAGCCAGGGATTGAACTCATGCCCCTTACATTAGAAATATGGAGTTTTAACCACTGGACTGCCAGAGAAGCCCTATACTTGCTTCCTTTTTGTTCCTAACCTTGTCTTAACACAGTTCTTACATCAGATAAAAACTCCTCTAAACAAAGTTGTTTTCTGATAATGTGTGATTTCCCCCAAATTCAACTATCATATTTTATATAGTGGAGCAGCCACAATTGTCTTCAATTTTGAGTATTTTGGTCCAAAAGAGATGCTGGATTACTTAAGCAAGTCGAGAGAAAAAGGATAAAATTCTAGAAACAAAAGCAACAGAAGATATGTGGAGCTGAAAGTGCTGTGTGGACACCTGTAGAAAGGGAAGTGATGGGAACTGAATCTTAGTTTGATACAAGGAAGGAACTTCCAGCAGTCAAAGGTG